TTTTTATTTTTTATTTTTTTGGTCTCAAATTAGAATTTGATATATATATAAATAAATAAAAAAAAAGAAGGGAAATAAGAAAGAAAGATAACAGTTTGTAGCTTAACAAAACATTACCAAATAATATTTCAAAATTTTCTATTTGAGAAATTGTGGTCCTTTTGCCAAAATAGTGCGACGACACTCTCTCTACATTGTTGAGGCAGAATTTGGTAATTTGTAGAAAAAGTAAGGACCCGTTTAGAGGTAGAGATAAATGAAAGAAACCGCTTTTCCCAGCATTACCAAAAACTTGGATATCAATCTACTTGATTATAATCTTTGGAAAAATTATATTTTGGACACGATTTTTATGAGTCCATATAGAAATGAGTTCCATCTTAAAAATCCATTTTTTAGTTGGATTTTTTAACGCAATTTTTAATGACATATAATCTCAAATACGGAGATCATGAATATGAAAAAATAAATAGATTTTAAAAATTAAAAATAGTAGTTTTATAAAGAAAATTTTGGACTGTTAGTTTCTATTATTTTTAGATGAACCGACCACCCATTTGCATCCATCTTTAGGATGGATGCTTTATGTCTCGGGGGATACAAATGTAGAAATACGTCCCCCGACGCATGGAACAAGTTTCCTTGAATTTTTAATAAGAAAAATTCCTCAAAAAATTTATTTATTTTAATATAAAGTGGTCACAATCACTCTTGCCCATCAAATTTCAAATCAGATTCTTGTGAGTATATCATTGAGTAGACTCATATTTCCCAAAAAATTTCTTGAAGTTTATATCACACTCCAAACCATCCAATTTGACATCTAAGGGCTAGTAGTAATTATGACATCCTTGATGCATAGATTAATGGTCTTATAATATACAATCCCACTTAATAATTACAAGTACAAGCATTCAAATTATGTAAACATGACTTTCGGGATGTCCAGACTTATTCTAATGTTTGGTTGAGCCCAAATGGTAAGCCACACAAAACAGGGCAAAAAAAGGTCATCCCCTTTATATGTTATGATTAAAAATTAAAAAAAAGTATAATAAAACTATTTAGTTTTTGTCAAAAATGTTCGAAGTGCCCCAAACCATCAAACGTTAAATTAGGAAGATGGGGGGGGGGTGTAGGGTCACTATTTTAGAGTTCCAAAAAAGTTTTTGTAATTGGGCAAAGAAAATATAGTCCCTTGAGTATTTCATACCTTCTCACCAATGGCATCTTGTATTAGACTCATATGGCTTGTGATGCCTGCCATGATATTCCCAGGTGTTAAATCAGTGTCAAAGGCTCCAATTTCTTGTCTCAAAACTGCCCGGAAAAATGAGAGCCGCAACCTCGAAGTTTGCCTCTCGCTTGCATACATCCAACATCCAATTTCTACACAGCCACAAATAAATAAATATATTTTCAAAGTATATAAATGAAGGACCTATTCATCAATTTATTTAGATAACAAAAAAATCCAATGCACCACTCTCTCTCTCTCTTAGGGAAAATGGCATCCATAACATTCTTTCAATTACTTGACCTTAAGAAATAGTTTTTGTTTTTTCCCTTTTTCTTCCTTTTCTTGAAAAATAGATATGAAAAAGATAGCAAAACGCCTCGATGCTTTGGTTTTCCTATCTTTCTTTCTTTCTTCTTTTTTTTTTTTTTTTTCGGTGGGGGCCGGGAGGGGAGATTTTAGCCGTAGAAATTGAACTTGAGATATAACGTTACATCCAACTGCTAAACACTCAAGCCGAAGCCTCATTCCTAACTAACAACAACGAGTTCCACAAAATATGAATTTAGTGCCCATATTCTTTTTTCTTCTTTTCATACTAAATTTTTTATTATTGTTATGTTATGGAAAAGGAAAACTTACCTAAAATACCGGCAGGGAAGGTGGCCAATGCCATGTACCACACATAACGAACAATCTGCAAGATAAACAAGACACCATACACCATCACGCAGCCTTACAACATAGAGCATTGCACATATCCACTCCTTGTCTGGTTTTAACATCCATGCATGCACTGTAATAAATCAAATGGTACTTGGATATATATATATATATACTACAAATGCTATAAGCGAAAATGAACAGTGATTTTGCCTACTTTCATCACTGTCCAAAGTTCATCGCATGGTAATGATTGTTTGGTAGTGTTTCATTTTTCATTTTTCTTATACAAATCGGAATGACCTGAAATTTGGAGCTTGTGTTCCTAAAAAATAGGTGAATCTATTAAAAATATCAAAAAAAATATTTTACATAAAAAAATTGATCAAAATACCCCAAAACGTTTAGGCGGTATTATGGTTGATATTTTTTTACGAATTAATGTTTTTATGTTTTTATTAGGTGCATCTCATTAAGATGTTCATATGCTCCAAATTTCAGGTCATTCCGATTTGTAGAAAAAAAAATAAAAGAACTGGACAATC